AAACACAGTGTCTCTAATAAATGGTACTAGTGATAGGGTGTGGTGGCTCACACCTGAAATTCCAGAGCTTTGAGAGGCTAGGCAGGAGGATTGCTTGAGGCCAACCTGAGCAACTTAGCAAGATTCGTTTCTAAAAATAAAAAAACTAAAACTTACTCAAGCACAGTGACTATTACCTGTAGTCCCATCTACTTTGTCCCCCATTTCATGGGTTGTTTTACAAAATAGTTTTGAACTCATCAATTTTTATGCCTCAGGCAGAAAGATCACTTGAGCCCAGAAAGGAGAGGCTACAGTGAGTTATGATCATGCCACTGCACTCCAGTCTGGGAATCAGGATAAGACCTTGTCTCTAAATAAACAAATGTTGCTGGGAAAACTGAATTTCCACATGCAAAAGAATGAAATTGGACTTGAATCTTATGCCATGCACAAAAATGAACTCAAAATGGATAAAAGACCTGAAGTCATAAAACTACTAGAAGAGAACATAGGGGAAAAGCTTCTTGACTTTAGCTTTGGCAATGGCTTTCTGGATATTACACCAAAAGCTCAGACTGCAAAAGCAAAAATAAATAAATAGGATTACATAAAACTAAAAAACTTCTGCTGAGCAAAGATAACAATCAATAAATGAAAAGATAACCTACAGACTAGGAAAAATATTTGCAAACCACCTAACTGATAAGGGGTTACTATAAAAAATTTACAAAGAATTCTTACAACTTAAAAGCAGAAAAACAAATAACTTGTTTAAAAAATGGGCAAAGAACCTGAACAGACATTTTCCCAAAGAAGACATGAAAATGGCCAACAGATATATGAAAAGGTACTCAACATCATGAATCAACAGGAAAATGCAAATAAAGCCACCAGGAGATAACACCGCACCTCCTTTAGGATTGCTATGATAAAAAAGACAAAAAATAACACATGTTGGTGAAGGTTTGAAGAGAAGAGAATTTTAGCACACTGTTGTTAATGGGTAGGTAGATTGGTATAGCCATTATGGAAAACATTCTGGAGGTTTCCAAAGAAATTAAAAACAGAACTACCATATGACCCAGGAATCCCTATTTTGGGAACATGAAATCACCACCTTGTAAAGATGTCTACACGCCCATGTTCATTGTAACATTATTCACAATAGTGAAGATATTTTCTTTCTTGTGTGTGTGTGTGTGTGTGTGTGTGTGTGTGTGTGTGTGTGTGTGTGTG